CACTGGGGTCATGATGGGAAAACAAGGTCAAGTGGATGAAAACAGGAAGCCCCACAAAGGGGACCAAGGTGGTTAGTGTCCAGGGGCTTTACTGGATCCTGTACTAGTTTGTCCTGTCAATGACCCCAAAGGCACCGGTAAATTATAATTAAGGTTCGGCATTAAGCTGTAAAACTATTAGGATTTCCACATTTGTTCCCCACGTCCAGATTCTTATTCCTAGGATTCTGTCTGCAAGTGCAGGGAAACGTATCATGGTGCCCATCACTCACTCTATAGCACTGTGAGTTCAAATAAATTATTTGTCTTCAGGAGGCTCTGTTTCTGAGGACGGTGACACTTGTTCAAATAAGTCACCACATGGTGCAGACAGGCACACTTCCCTTTTATTTGCTGCAGAGAAACCATAACCCTCTCCCAAACCCAAACTCCTTACAAGAGTGCACAGCTGTAAATACTGGGGTGAAATTCTAGCCAGAAAGTATGGAATCTTAAGACATGTTGAATTAATTCTTCTCCCATGGGGATGGTCTTGAGGTATGTTTATTAGTTTTCATCCCCACTGAAGGTAGGGAGATTGACTAAGTGATAAAAATTGCTTTTCCCCATCTCCTCCAGGTCCAGGGCTATTTAGCCTGAATACTGATTTATACCTTCAAACATCTCACGGGTCTTTACTATAAGCCAAGAACAAACAACAAATGGTCAGAACAGGCTTGGTCATACAATGGTAAGATTCACAGTGGGATCTGGGTTAAATTCACGGGTTATCATTCGTCATCATGTTCTCAGACACCTATGCCTCAAGGGGTGGCAGCTGTAGCAGCTATTAAGTCCCTTAGCTTGGAAGTGGGTTGGTGACTCTCGGCTTTCTTGCTGGCCTCTGGGGGCCATACACAGGATAGGGAACCCATAAGCACGCACGGCCACGTGGGGCTCCTGTGCATTCTTCTGTAGGTGAATGAAAAGGTGGGGCTGGAGAGTCAGGATGCCATTCCTGACCACAGTGGCAGTTCAGACACCAGATGAACAAGTGGGATTTGGGTCTTTTAATTCCGAAAAAAGTATGCTTTCTTATCTTATCTTAGTCAGGCATATGCCTTTAATCCCAGGGAGGCTAAAAAAGCAGGTGGATCTCTGAGTTTGTTAGTCTGGCCTATAGGGAGTTCCAGGACATCCCTGTCAGAACCACAGAAAGAAACCCTGTCTTGAAAAAACAAAATGTAATAATAATAATAATAATAATAATAATAATAATAATAATAAATCATAATATAAACATATCTTATATGAGCTCAGCACTGGGAACATACCAACTAACAGTGGTGGAGGTGAGTGCATGGGCTGACCCTCATGACCTCCTACATTTTGTCTGTAGGACCTGTGGATCATAATGAGCTCGTGGCCTGAAGCTCATGCATGTCTCTATTGGCATGTGTCAGATACAAATCCATCTAAAATGTGAGATGGAGCTTCCGAGTTCTTTCGGAGAGAGGAGTTGCTCGTTCAGTAAATAAAACACTTTCCATTGCTGGACTCACTGTGCCTTGGTAGGGACTCTCGTCCCTTTGAACAGGACCTTTAGTTACTCTTTATAATCTCAAGGAGAACAGGGTTTCAGTGAAATGCCTGACAGAGCACAGCAAAACTGGCTCTTAATCAGTACTGGCCCAAACGAAATGTAGACTCTTGGCAGCGCGGGATGGTTGAGAGGTGGTCCCTAACTCCCCTAACCCAGCTCTCTGCTCTACTCTGGCAGCATGCATTCTCTGCTTAATCCAGCATCAGTCAAGCGGTCCAGAATTTGCAAGTCTGTGATTCCTTCCAGACAGTGAATTATGATGTCAACTGACCACACCATCACTGGGAAGTAACCACCCAGGCAAGAAGGAGGAATTCCATATGCCCCTTTCTTTAGCTCTTAGAGTTCTGAAACAATGGAGCCTAAGAAACGGGAATTTCCCCGGGAGTCTCACAGGCTGAAGTCCTGCTGCCAGCCAGAGGGGCCACCTGTCATTCTGAGAGCTTCTATACAGTGTGACAATGTGTGAGAAATGCTGGAGCTGAGATGGGTGGGGTCATAGCTTGACAAGGATGGTTTGTGCACACCTCTTGCCCTCCGTTTAAACCTAAATCTCATGTTCGCACCAAAAAGGCGGACTGAGGGGATCACTGAACCTCTTGACTCCTCTTCCCAGCGTGAGTGCCCTTGAACAAGTCTCCATTTTCTGAATGTGAATTTGCCTCTCTCATTCCTGGTGAGGATGGGAGGCCGAGCTCGGCTGTTAGGGCTTGGAAAGGCAGCTGGCACTGTTGACATGCTGGTGCTGCCTTCCAGGTATTCTCTGACTTTTAGCATCGTGGAGATTGTCTAATCTGGGGTTTGCATCCCTTTAGTACTTTACTGAAAAATTAAAACACAAGTATGAAATAATGAAAAAAGAACTTCAGAGGAAAGCCATTTTCTAAGAATTATGCCAATGGTAATTATTAGTTGTTTGGAACTATGGAAATGTACTGGCTCTTTGAATAAGAAATCAAACTTGTCACTTGGCATAAGTGAGGAATGAAGGATCCCAGGAAGGGTCCAGACCGCACTGTTGTGGCCAGAGGGTCTGTACTCACTTGTTGTCTGTGAGGCCATGTAACAGGATAGGGATGGCTTCATTCTACAGTGATGTTACTATAAAAGGGACTTTTAATAACGGCTTGACAAGAAAAAGGAAAAAGCTCATTTTTCTTTCTAGAGAAAAATAAAATCAGAGATGTAAAAATTAGGCCACAGGATAATGACCACCATTCTGTAAGATGAATTACTTCAGCAAATTATGGCACATCCTCATTATGGACTGCTATTAATCACGGACTGAGAGAAATATAAACTTGTATGTGATCTTATCAAGGGGGAGGAGAGTGGTAAAAATACTGTGCGGTACAAGGTCCAGCCCATGAAAGTGGGAGCAGGGTTGATGTCTCTATGTCCCCTTGTGTTTCTCTATGGTTTCTGACACTGCTTGAAGAGCAAGGGTTGCTTCTGTAATAACAAAACCTCCTGTACTTTTCATTTAGTTAAGGTGTTATGGATGAATCCTTAGGCTGGTTCTTGGGCCCAGAATGGCCCGTGGGCAGCTGGCCACATATGTGTGTGAGCTTCAGATCAGCAATGCTGGGAGCGATGCACAGCACAGAGCAGAGAGGATGCAGCAGAGCTCGGAGGGGAAGAAAGGGCGGTATTGGAATGCCTGGTGCAAGTGTCCGCAGGATCCATTTTGTCTCCATATAATGTCACTTGAAATCATTCACGGGTGTTAAAAAAGACACTGGAGGTTCCATGTGCAATGAAAGCTCTTTCCAACACTTTATGAAAAGGAGATATTAGGGGCTGGGGAATGTAGCTCAGTCAGTAGAGTGCTTGCCGAGCATGCACAGAGCCCTTTCTGGGCTGGATTCCCAGCAATGAATCAACTGGGCATGGTGGTGAATGTCTGTAATCCCAGGACTTGGGGGGGGGCTGGGGGCGGGGGGGGGCAGAAGCAAGAGAATCAGAAGTTCAAGGTCATACTTGACCATAGCACAAGCTCCAGACCAGCCTGAGATACACTGGACTCTGTCTTAAATGAATGGATGAATGAAAAATAAATGTATAAAAAATGCTAGAAATTGGCTAAAGTAATCATCCCCAGAATGGGATGGCCTTTGCTCATTTGCACTTGACCCTAAGAATCAGGTCACATGCACACAAACCCCACAGATGCAGCATGAATGAAGTCTGTTTTCCAAATGCTATGGCTGGGAAGACTTGTCTGGAGTACAAGCATTTTGGACAGACCATTTGAGACTGTTCGGTCCTTAAGTATCCTCTTCTATGCCAGCTTGTAATGGCCATATGGCTCTCAGAGTACAATCTTCAAGTCCAAATTACCAAATGGCACACAAATACGCAGTGTGTTGATGCTAAGAGATTAACGACAGTTGGGGGGTGGGGGGAAGGAAAGACCCAGTCCTAGTGCGGCCCTTTCCAAGGGCACAGATGAGTGATTTTTGCACTGGGAGCCCAGCAAATTCACAGGGAAATGGTGACCCTGCTGGATATTTTTAAGCTATCAGAAGATGTGACGGACCCATATATGGCTATCACTGTGCCATGGAGAGAAAACCTTTAGTGTGATGTTTTGCGCTATGTAACCACTTGCAGAATAAAACTTTAAAACGTGGGTTATGGAGATGGGTGAGTCTAAAAAGTGCTTGCCGGGCAAGTGTAAGGACCCGAGTTCGGTCCCTACATACACACTCAAAAAGCCACTGTGCTTTTAATCCCAGGATAGAGGAGGCAGACACAGACAGAGTTCTGGTGCCTGCTGGTCAATGAGCCCCCACGCCAAGGAAAGATCCTGTCTCAAAAAAAACAGAAAACAAAGTAGACAGTACGATAGGAGCAACAGGACCCAATGCTGTTCCGTGAACTCAGTACACATGTGCACACACGTGAACACAAACACATTCACACATGTCAATTCAAATCCCCCTTCGAAACCACAGGCTACAAGCCTGGTTCTCTCCAGTCTGGACATCACCACACCCTACTTTTCGCACCAGGTATAGAAACAGGAGCCTCCCGCAGCTGTCTCCCTGCTCTTCACTACTAGGATTTTTTTCCCTTCCCAGCAGAGTCTGATCAATAGAATGGCTATGTGTCTATATAAATCTGAGTAGCAGATCCATTCTCATAAAGTTTACCACGTCCTGCTTCTCAGCTGTGAGGCAGAACTGGAAAAAAAAAAAAAACCCACCTATTTTGTGAGCATTTGCAACGGGAAGATTAAATTCTGTCATGTGTGTATCACAAATAAGAAAGCTAAGCTGGCCACCCGTGACCTTTTCTCTTTCTTGTGCCAGGATGGGAAAGATCTTAGGTGTGGGGCTCTGAGCAAGCTGGAGGCCAGCTGAGGCAGTGACTTGGCACACCCGTGCCTGCTGCCCTTGGAGGGGAGGATCGGGAAGATGTTGGCACAACTGGCGTGTGCAGATGAGCAGCACGGGGCATCCAGAGGTGCGCCTGCGAGCGGGGTGGCAGCAGCGGGCCTCAGCTGCTGGCCTTGTTCCAGAAGAGGCAGCTGCCGTATCCTCTTCCCGCTCGTGTGTGGGAGCAGCAGCCAGTGCGGCTATAACCTGAGCCCTGCCCTCGCCTATGACACCCCGGTCATTTCTCAGTCCGGTAAGAGCAGTCTCGCTGTGAGAGAGCTGTGCTCAGCCCTCTGCAAAGCTTAGTGTCCTCTAGATCAACTGCGAGCCCGTGGCTGCTGTTGATGGAGCTCTCCAGCCTGCACCGCCGGCCCCCAGCTGCCGAGCTCCTGGCTCTCAGTGTGGGCCATACGGAGCATTCTGAGGAAGCAGATGGGGAGGGGGCCGCTGTACAGAAGGTGGGGAAGAAATCGGTGAAGAGGATTCGGTGCTGACGGGGGAGGGGGAGGAGGAGGAGCAGGCACCACTGGCAGCTGTCTCAAGCACAGAGAGAATGTTGAAGCCTCAGAAGGATTCGAGATCTCCTAAAACAAACAATGTGATTTCCCACCCACTCAGGACAGCAGGAAGGGACGTGACGGGATGAGGATGTTTACACGTTCTGACTGCAAAGCGGAGGCCCATCCTGATGCCCTTTCCGTCCCTGACGGAAGGATGCCCATCCTGCCTCCCTCCCTTACTTTATTGTGCAGGTCGATAAGTTGGCGCTGAAGCAACAATCCAAACCAGGGTGGGTTTTCCAGGATACCTGCAAGCGCTGCTCTCGTTTTGAAGCGAGATGCATTTCCTCTGATGAGACCCTCCCCGCGTCAGAGAATCTGGGTACCATGGTGACAGCAGAGCTGAGACCAACATGTGGCTCGCTCACGCGTTTATCCCACACAGGCTTATGAAGCCTCAACTATGCATCTCTCTGACTTCAGCTGGAGACTGAATGGGGATCAGACAGGCAGACAGACAGTTTTCCCCTGTCCTCCCAATGTCTGTCCTAGAATACTTCAGGAGCAGAGTAGAACCCTGGCTGTTTGACCCTTTTATTAACTTTTATTGATTGTGTGTATATGGATCTTTTGCCTGTCTGCATGTCTGTGGACCACATGAGTGCCTGGTGCCTTTGGAGGCCACAGGAGGGTGTCAGATCCCTTAGAACTGGAGTTATACATGGCTCTGAGCTGCCACATGGGTGCTGGGAATCGAACCCAGGTCCTCTGGGAGAGCAGCCCATGCCTTTAACCACTGAGCCATCTCTCCAGCCCTGAGTGTAACTTCTTTGGAAGCTGTAAGAACCTTTCCAAATCCTTATACAACACCAATGGGAAGGGAGCCTATAAATGAGGCCAGCAGTACCTTTCTGACTTATTTGTGGCAATTACTGAGTTGCTGGACAGCATCCTCCAGGGCATAGCGTGGAAGGTTCTGTCACTTATGGACTCCCTATTCCACTGCCAGGTTTCTGCCTCCACTTCCCCTTGTCTGCCTTTCATCAGGTGATTTAAGCTTGACATATACAACAAGGAAGGGAAAATTTAACAACCGCTCTATCAACACAAGCTAGTGGATGCAACATAGAAGAAGGTCCAGGCACCTTGCTCTGGGGGCTACAAGCCAGGGTGGGAAACTGACGGGATACCCAAGGGAGAAGATGGGAATGACGGGGGCTCAGAGCAGGCAGAAAAATGAACAGCTGAAGTGGGCACCAGGGTTGTCTGAGAAAGACTTCGGATTCAGGAGTGGGAAAGGGAGGTTGGGAGGCTCTCCAGGCTACCGGTAGCCTGGCCACCCAGGAAAGGCCAGGGACCTTCTGGGTTTAGCATTCCCCACCAGCCAAGCTGAGAAAAAAGTTGTGTAGTCATTCCTGGAGACCAGGATAGTACCAGACAAAGGAGATGTGGATTTGCACGTTAATTCACAAAAGCATTTTTTTTTTTTTAATTAAAAAGGAAAACCTCCTTAGAAGAGAGAGAAACATTTCCAATGTGAAGGCAGACAGGGTGGTCCTCCTGTGTCCCCTCCGCTCCTTCCTTTCCTGCTGTCCTAAGAGGAGTCTGTGGCAGGAGATGAAGCAGAGGAGGAGACAAGTTTCCATGAAGGGATGGGGCCTGAGAAGCGAGGCCGGAGGAGAGGAAAGTTGATCCTCGCCATCTCATTTTCTGGCCTGGGAGGAAGGGGAAGGGAGGTAGGACTTCACAGGGTTGGTTTTAATTTGCACATTCTCCCTCTTGTCTGCAAGTGGTTCTCAGGAGCGCACACAGTTCATTCCGCTTCCGATCCCTGTGGGAGTGGAGCCAGGGGCCACATCCGGGACAAGTGGCCGGGGCAGCTGCTAGTGTCCCAGGCTTGCAGCCTCACATCCCTTCCCTGATGACACTTTGTCTTAGGCCTGAAGCATTCAGTGTTCTCTTTGTCAAGTCAGGTGGCCAGTGGTGGCTGCTGGGGAACTCTGTGGGTGGTCCTGGCTCTCCAGGGTCTGTTTAGATAGCAAAGGCCTGAGCTCGGGACTGCCTGGAGGGCCCCTGACAGCCATTCGCAGCTTCTGCTGCCAATCACTGCGACCAAGTGCTCCCCCTTCCCTTGCCTGGACCAAAGTACTGGATGCTGAAATCTCATCAGGATGCTGGCTTCATAAAGATGTATTAACTTCCAGCTTTGTGGCCGAGGGTTACCTTCAAGGAGCAGAAGAAGGCAGGTAACGTGAGGTTTAGCCTTCCGTCCAGCTGCTTTCTCAGTATTTCATAGTCATTTCATAGTATGCAGATGAGGTTTATTATTATTTAAAACTTCTTAGTTTCTCCCTCCCTCTGTGGTGGTTTGAACAGGTATGGCTCCCATAGACTCAAGTGTTTGAATGCTGGGCCTATAGAGAGAGGCACTATTCTATTAGGAGGTGTGGCCTTGTTGGAGGAAGTGTGTCACTGTGGGGGCGGGCTTTGAGGTCTCATTTGCTCAAGCTATACCCAGTGTGGGCCACAGTTCACTTCCTGTCACCTGTGGATCAAGATATAGAACTCTCAGGTCCTTTGCCAGCACCATGGTGATAATGGATCAAATATTTGAAACTGTAAGCCAGCCCCAGTTAAATATTTTCCTTTATAAGAGTTGCCATGGTCATGATGTCTCAGTAGAAACCCTAATTCTCCCTCTGTATTATTATTATTTTTTTAATGGAAAAAGTCATTTTTCTCTTGTTGAAGCCCAAGTCTCAACAGGTATAAAAGACAAATTACCCTCCACCAGGTGATGCTGATTTCTGCAGAGTGGGACACCGGGGGTCAGTGGGGAGGTCTTTAGTTGACAGACTATAGTATACATTAAGTGGGAAGTTAATGGGTCTCATTTTAAATACTCTCATCATTCACAGGAGGTTAGGCTCATTATGAGAGGGAGCCAAAATGTGAATCTCTCACTTCCTTCTTTATTCTAACATAGATGGTAGTTGCCCTGAGGGAGGGGTCACAGAGACTGTCACTTAATGGGCCAGGACAATGGAAGCCACCATGTTGTCTGTTTCTTATAACCTGAGGATAATGAAGGACTTTGTGGTCTAACTTTAGGACAAGGTGGCTCAAAAAGCTGGAGGAGAACATGGGTAATGAACTCAACCGAACAACACCTGAGAAGCATGTGGGTGATGAGGCTATCAGCAAAGCCTGACTGGTTCCTTGCAGCTGTCATTCATGTGGGTGGATCTTATTTTTATTCTTAAACTCATTTCCTGGATGGGGAGGATTTTTGAATAGATATTTATTGGTTATGTGTGGCCCTCTTATGTGATGCATGTGTGCCATGACATGTATGTAGAAGTCAGAGGATAACCTTTAGGGATTGGTTCTCTCCGACCATGTGGTTCTGGGGATTGAACTAAAGGTTGCTGGGCTTGGCAGCAAGCATCTTGTACTCTCTGAGCCATATCACTGGTCCCAGATGTGGAGACTAGAACTTAGAGCTTGTGGACCTTAACACGATAACCTAGTTAGAAATCTACTCAGTTAAGGCCCAAATCCGAGCTAGAATGACTTGATCACCACCACTACTGTGGGCAGTGAGGATGTAGTCGTTCAGTACTCAGCCCTGTCCTGAGCCATTACAGAGTAATACAGAGCTTCAAACTACAGGCCCTCTGACTCTACGTTCTCTGAGGCTGTACATGAGGTCACCCAGTGATACGTCAACTCCTTTACTTGTGGAATCTTCTGGAAATGCTGCTTCTCTCAGGTATGAGCCACAGTCATTGCTTGCCCTGGTGTCTCCCAATGTCCAGCCCCGCCCCTCATCTTTCCCTTGGAGCAGCCAGACAGGACTTTCCGGTGATGACTTCTCTGTGCTGGGGCTCCTGGGGCTCCGGCACTCAGTGACAGAGTCTTGCCAGCCTCTGCTCTGCTGCAGGATATGTGACCTCACTGTGAACCCCAAAACTGTGTTATTTACTGGAAAAAACCCCTGTTTCTAGTTGTGGTGTGGCTCAGCCCCTAGCACACATCTTTAGTCCAAGAACTTCCTGCTTGAATATTATAAACAGGATTAGTTAATGTCAACGATAGGTTGAGAGGCGGAGCAAGTAACCAGCTGATGGGAAGTGAACATAGGATTATTAAGGAAAAACCATAGAGAGTAAGAGGGACTCAGGAGGATGGAGAGAGGATGCACAGGAAATAGAATTTGGGGGGGCATTCAGTTTAGGGTTTTGGTTGTTTGTTTGAGAAGGTATGAGAGAAGGGGGCTTCTGGGACAACGGCAGAGGAGGAAGGTAAGCTTTGGGATTTCTCTGCCTCTTTGAGCCAGCAGGCTTTGACCTCAGCATCTGGCTCCCGAGTCTTCATTGAAAAAAACTGAACAATCGAGATTTTGTTACAAACAACACTGCTCTGTGTTCCTGTCCCTTGACATCTCCTTTAGCTAAAGTGTTCTGTGCACTCAACTGTGGCCTGGGCTGTACCCTGACACTCCTTAGCTAGGAATGTCCTGGAGTTCTGTAGGTGCCACTGGCAAGTCCTCCCCCTGCCCAGCTGCGCTCCAGCTGCACTCCAGCTGTGCTCCAGCTGTGCTCCAGCTGCACTTGTACAGCCTGCTGTGTTCACAGGTTTCCTGCTGGGTTTGCCTCTCCTTTCCCATCTCAGTGCTGCTCCCCCCCCACCCCACACTTTTGTTCTTTTCCACACTGGTCATCCAGTAGTACCGGAAGAACTCCTTAATGTT